AATCGTGGGAACAGTTCAAAAAATTCTTTCTTTTAAATTTACAAGCCCAGAGAGTGGTTGAAAGTAACGGGAACATACTACTATTAAATTTTTTCCCTTTATTAGAGGTGTTCTACAAATATATGCAATCAAGTAATTAAATGAATAGCTCTACTATAGTCAGGCTAATGGATAACACGTCTTAAAGATGGTTGAGGCTCTGATTCTTAGTATGAGCAAATGTAATTCTTGATCTTCATCCCATTTGCAAAGTCATAAACATGGCCAAGAAGCCAACCATTCCATTCATACACCCACTGCATGTTGAATATCCATCTTTTCAGCACCACAATCCACTGGATAAGTTCACTCAAGTCTTTTTTAAATAGTCATATATTCCAGGTTGTTTGTGCCACTTAAACGGGTTGATAATACTGATCATTGCCAATGTGTTTCTAATTAGGATCATAGCATGATTGTCTGGTCCTGCGGGAATTATCATCTATATAGCCTCCAGGTTTCCTTCATACTCACCAGCCGCTGCTGCATTGCTAGGATTTGCTCCTTGCTTTGTTGCCTGTGTCTGATACCACTTGATAGGTTCCAAGAAAACTAGAAGAATAAACAAGCTCGTTTAGGAGGGCCTTCACCTCCATAAGTAGGTTTTCGAGGACCTAAACCTCAAAATAACTTAGAAGTTGTAGACATATAATTCATCATCTTTAGTACTTCATAAATGATATACATCTACCCTAGAATTAAGGAACGCGTTGTTCCACACCACTCACAAACTTACATATAAACATTTAGACTCGGGGTCAGTTTGATTGCAAACGTGAAAAATGGGTGGAAAAAAAATGAATTACAGGGAATTGAATTGTCTAGAAATTATTTTACTGGGAATTATAATTAATTGTGTTTGATTGGTATAATTTTCCACCTGAAAAATATTGAAAGTTTGGTGTCCGTTTGACTTTGTTTTTTATGAAAATTGTTCATGAAAGTGATAGTTTTTCTACCATTGGGTCTAGAATTTTTTAAAATTGCTAAAAAAAATCATCATATCGAGTATCTTTCGTTTGTTTTTGTTTTGCATAAAAATTTTCAATAAAAGTGATAAATATTTTTACCATTGTGTCTAGAATTTTTTTCGATTGTCAAAAAATAATAATAAAAAAAAGAAGCTGGAAAACACTTTTCCACCAAATAGGCAAGAAAACCAATTCCTTGAAATACTGGAAAGA